AATAGCAAAACACAAGCCTGTAAAGAGACAATGTGCTGAAGGACGCTTTCTCCTTGAGCGAGAATTTTTTGATGTTTGTGAGATTTCACAAGCTGCACTCCATGTAACTGTGTTGTGCTGGTGATGCGTGCTTGTTTATAGCCATTGTGTATCGATGCAAGATGCTATGTTGGGATGATAAAGCTGGGGTACCTAACTTCAAGCAAACAAAAAAACATAGTAATAATCAAAAACGATTGTTATGTTACTTGTTTTCACATGCATGCATTTTTAGTCACATCTTTTGATCACCTTTTGTCAGACAGAAAAGTGAAAAATGACAGGTCCTCAATTTTAGCCAAAAGGGTTCAATTAGTGGCTCCAAGGTCTTGATCCTCTCAGTATGATATGATGATGTTTTAAGTTGGTTTTTCCTATTTGAAGCAGTCACCTCGTATAACTTTCTCACACCAAGATGTCAGCAATATAAAGAGGCACAGGATTTTCTCAACTGTGAAAATTATTTCAATGATTTTTACATTTCATATAATAACTATAATCTATAAACTTATTATGCAAATGAAATTTAATTTGAACAAATATACAAATATTAATATAAGTATTGAAAACTTCAAGTTCAAGTTCAACAGCTTCTTACGTGTGGTAAGATCAGATGAATCAAAATAAAAATCAATGTATCAAATTCAACTGCTTCATATTTTATGATTATGAACTTTTGGAGCTATCGACCTGTTTCTCAACAGTGTTCCCTTGCCACTAGCCTTTTTCAAATTTGATTTTTTTAATTGATTCTTGTTTAAACCTGTATTTTCCTCTTGACAAAATCCTTCAGTGTCCTTATCACCACCCTTACAATTAGCTTTTTTACACCATTTCTGTTGGCAGAATTGCATGTCCTCCAGCCATTTTATAAAATTAAATTTCACCTTTATTTAAAACCCAAAAGTTATTATTGTTTTTAACTCCTTTTTTAAGAGTGACTTGAACTGTATAATTGAATCATAAAGTATGTAGATGCATAAACCTGCATAAATATTGTTTATTTATTTTTATCTTGTTATACTTGAGAATGAACTCACCTGGAGTCTGAGGCCGGAGTGTAGGAAAGGTCCACAGTCAGACAGTCCGAGCTGCTCTCCCCCAACATAACGGTTATTGCAATGATGTCCACTGTTGGAGCCCTGGTTCTGCCCAAAATGGCCCATGCCTCCCCATATCTAATGCACCAGTCTAAATTCAATTATCCCCAGCTTAGAGCCAGTGCTTCCTGATCCTGTCACACCTCCTAAAGAGCACAGAGTATGTTCACCACCTGTCACTCAGCACGAGGGAGGGGCCAGTCCAGACGAGAGAGGAAGTTTTCATTGTTATTTATAAGAAAGTTGTTATTTCCTGATTTCACTGACTGTTGTACATCCTTTTATGCCTTCCTCTAACTTAGATGATAAGCAAAACAATTATTACTATGTCAAAAGATTTTGAAGTGAAGTGAAACAAAATAAAAAAGTTTCTTTTGAAATAATAGCCTCAATAAAAGTATGTGCTAGCCAACAGATATGTGCTTTTAGGACTTATTTTTTCAAAATGTTTAAATGTTTCAGTATTGTTGTTGGGTTGCATACTAAATAGACACTGGAGGCTAGATATGTGATGTGCTAAGGCCAACGACACAAGGGCAGAATGCTTCCTTTAGTATTGAACTGGCTAATTATGTAAGAACAAAAAACTCACCACCTCACAATCCAAACTTGAAAATATGTGAAAATATAGGCTACTAAAACATAGTCTATACTTTGTCACTTATATTTGTCCGAGCAGAGGCCAGCCCCGCGGGTGAAAACATGACCTCCTTGTTGGAAGTATTAAAAGACTGAAAAAAGATCTTGCCGTTCACCAATGCGTGTAAATAACAGTGTTTATATGGCCCGGCTGAATTACACATGTTGGAACTATTTACTCACCTTCCTATAGAGTTCAGGGGTGAAACTGGGAACGGGTTGTGCACGTGCATGTGTGCATGTGTGTGTGTGTGTGTATGTGTGTATGCCTGTGTGTGCGTGTGAGGACATTTGTGCTCCTTGGCCATAAACAGCTCTCCTCAGGACTTTCACGCCTCCCGATGGTACTTTCTATAACCTGATTATATCTGTGCCAGAGACCCATTGTGCGACAGGTGACAATTCCCACAAGAGCGGCAGGAGCAATGGTCCGACAATGAAAATCACCCCCCATACTACTATTATTGGGATATAATTTGTGTGCTGCTTCTTCCTCTGTAGCTTTAACTTTATGAAAACATAGGCTGGTGTTTGCAGTCTGATAGAAGAGACTAAAGCAACTTTGTATTACATATAATAACAAAGAATTGATGTAAAAACTACCTTCATTATTATGCCATTATCTGACATACATGTTCAACTATAACAATGGCTCTTTGAAGATCTCACAACGGGATTTAAAAACTAACCTAGTAAAACGCAAAATCTTCAACTCTGAGATTGCTTTTGCTTTCTCCAATATTCCAAAACAGATATTCAATAAACATTTACATCCCACTTTTGTCATCAGCAACACAACCAGAAACTCTCAGTACTCACTCCACACCGCACTTCAGAAGATAAATCAGTTCTCTTCGTGTCTGTCTCGAGTTGGGTACAGCCTTCCTCAGACTGTGTGATGTTTTCTGCGTGCGTGCATGTGTGTGTGTGTGTGTGTGTGTGTGTGTGTGTGTGTGTGTGTGTGTGTGTGTGTGTGTGTGTGTGTGTGTGTGTGTGTGTGTGTGTGTGTGTGTGCGCGATTATGGTCAGGGAGGTGTGTCTCATGTACATCTGTGTGCAACTGTCATCTCTACAAACCTGGACAGACGACAAATCCATCTCTTAACATTCATACTGTATATCAAGGCAATTGTTATCAAGATATTGCTATTTGGCAAAAACACAACTCCTCATGACTTTGCACTGACTGTACCGATGTACTCAGGGCACGTCAACTTTTAGTATACTTCTGAGTTTATGTAGTAAAGTCATGTAGTTTCATGGACATTGGTCATCTTCCTCTTATGGACCAAACCCTATGTGTTCTATATTTCAGTAGTTCCACTGCAAAAAACAGATATCTCAGTTTTGGAAATGAGTTAAAAATGCGTGTTCATCTCACTACAGTCTTCATTATATTTTGCTATTGGAAGTACATTTTTTAGAGAGTTTGCTCAAGAAGGGATGAAACGTTATTTTTATGGCACTAAAATATTATCTGGCTTCTCGAAAAACTGTTTGGTAAAGGGCCAAATTGTAAACTTTTAAAATATTGTCCTAATGGCACTAAACTATTGATTTTTTGTGTGTGAACGGATTTATTCTCCGATCTGTGTTGGCAATTTCAACAGTTTTTATTTAGGGCTATACAAGAATAACTTGAATTGATAATGTTTTATTTTATTTTATTTTTTTAATCGACTATACACAGTGACCTACACCTCTTTTATATATTTCTGTTGGTTTGTTTTATATAGTTTCAGGGCTCAACATCAAAGGGATGAAAATGAAATGAATGAAAATAATTATGGTATATTTACAGAATATGCACAGTCTCTGAACGAAATTAAACTAAACTAAACTTGACACTGGCGGTTTTTATCTGCTGCTGCTACTGCTTTTTACCAGTAGATATAATATATGATAAATATGCATCACTATGATATATTTTGGATATTTTTAATCTCACTATAACAGTGTAGTAAGTAATAAGTAAGTATAGTGTCATTCATTCATGTTATGTGTAAATGATAAGATAAACAACTACTACACATTATAGCCCTTGAGGAACATGGTTGTAAATTGAATCATATTAGCATTATTCACTCAGTTAGATAAAGATTTGCCTAACTCGTTTTGTTCTCTGTGTAACTTTACTTAGAAACCCTCTGTTAGAAAATGATCTGTATTTATGAATTAAATGAGCAACAGCCATTCCATTTTTTTTTTGTTCCTTTAAAATCCTAATTGTAATCACATAGAGTGAGATGGCCTGTACTTACCATGTCCCCGTGAGGGTCCTCTGCTGTAGCTGAAGCTGATGCCTCTGTCTGAATGAACCGCTTTCAGAAAAACTCACTGAAAGGTTTAGAATTGGTGGAAGTGGAGGCACTTTTCCGGATGTGGCAGCGGAAAGTTCTATTAACACAATGTAATTTACAGTCTCAAATTGTATTCAATAATATTATTTGACTCTGAGCAAAGAAGCTAATATTTATAAATAAAAGCCTTTGCCCTTGTTTTACAGCCTTATACCTGGATCTAGGGAGATCCCTTTCTTAGTTTTTTTGTTTCTATAATTTTTTTTAGACATTTTGTGACGATGTACAGTGATGATCCGCGACACCTTTACCCATGTATGAGCATTGATCATCCTGCCCCTATGGACCGATGGCAACACTGTGTTTAATGTGTTTAATTATTGCATTTCCTATGTTCCAACAACAGAGTCTCTGATCTGTTGTTGTTGAAATGATACCTTTGGAAAGTCCTGTGAGATGACTGCTGTTGTCATTTATACAAAAATAAACTTAATTGGTTGTGTGAAGCTATTTTTTGTCAAAATGTCCAACTATAATAAAACAGAAACTACTACCACATGACCCTGATCAGAAGTTTTCATCCTTTAGCTCTCAACAGTTTGCATTGCCCCTTTACATCTATGAAAGCTTGTGTGTGGATGAGCATCTTTATTCTCTCTGATGGCACTTATCAGAAAAAATGTCCAAAGCATGGACAAACATTGACATCTATGGCTGACTACGTATACATGAAAAATAAAATCCTTTTCTGAATCTGCCGTTGGTCTATGTGTCCACCAGATGGCGGCACAGATTGGTCAGCTGCAATTATTCACGTGGTGTGGGTTTTCCCCAGCAGAGGGCGCTGTGGCTGCACACTGCCCTGTGAGTGCAGCTGTGTCCTCTGCTGCAGTGCCTGAAGGGGGCGCTGTGTCCTTACACACTATGGTTCAAATCCATTGAGACCCAGAAGCTGCTCCATGCGGTTCACCCGGGCCTGAGGACTGTGATCTGTGCCCAGGATCAGAGCACCTTCTCTGGGCATGTCCAGTCCCACATCCCCCTCCTCATCTGCCATATCTGTATGATCTGTTCAAAATAAAACATAGGACAGGGAGTATATTTAAAAGTCAATGTTTTGCATTTTATTTTTGTCACATCCTTGGTTATGTAACTTGTAGCCATTATGACAAATAACGAGAATATTTATTACAATTTCAAATAAAAATTATATGTGATTATTATAGTATTATTTAGCTCTATATATAGAGATTGATTTATTGATTTATTATTTATAATTATGTTGTCATTGTTCTCACATGACAAAGAAGATTGGGAACCTTTGATGTTAGAGCTAACCGTCTGAGGCGCTGTGAATAGAGAGAGAAAGAAATCATCATTAATATCTGAATATTTCGAAAAGTTCCCGTTATATGCTTGAGCATGAGGAGGATGCAAAAATCTAGGCAGAGAAGTTGAAATGATTTTGACCGCAGTTATTCTTCGGGTGGCAATCAGAAGCCAACACAGGCAAAACAGTCAATAGACATAAAAAGATTATTACTATAATCCACACCCAGCAATAAACCCCCTCATAAACAGTGTTCAGCATCAGGGATAGAAGAAAAAAACAGAATTTGTTTTAATCAATGACACAACAGTAGAAGCCCAATACAATCATCAAAATTACGTTTGATGTGCTGCTTCTAGAGCGCTGCCAAACCTCTCTTCTTCTGAACCTGGAGTTGCAGAGAAGCTAGAGCAGACACATACGACACAACATACATATTGAAGAGCATATCATTTTAAACCCCCAAGCGCAGGTTTTATGGTACATGTTTCACTCAAGCACACCCAGGGGCTGCCAGGGGTGATGATGGGCGGGGCTAGAACATAATTACATGTCTCATATTTTTACCAGGCTCTTCTTGGTTTAGAGTGCTTTATATTCTCCCACTGCTCTCGAACTACCTCTGAATGCTGGAATTTCTACTATAACATTCTCTGAAAAAACCGGAGCAAGGCGAATGTGTCAAAAAGGACATGATGGTCACCTTCTTGGTCTGAAAAGCCACCAGGCACAGATGGCGGTAGTACAGGTTGGTCCTGAAGTCCTGTACCATCTCCATGACCAGAGACTGAAGGTCCGCTCAGTGGGATTCTGGGAGCAGTGGATCTCTCTCAGAGCCTTGAGCTAGGGCTTGTAGCTTTTCCATCGCCTTGACTCTTTTAGTCAAGGCGATCTTAGTGGATTTATGTAAGGTCTATTTGGTTCTGGCCATTTTCTCTTTTCTGGTTCAGTGTAAAACCTTGGACACTGTACCCATGGACACACATGGCAAATTCACAAAAACGAGGACAGTACAGCACAAAGCACATTTTTCAGAATTAAAAAAAGTCTGTTTTCTAAGCCCCACATTACACAACGCGACAGCACACACAATCTCATTAGTGAGTCTTGCGCGGAGTCTTCAACCATCACAATTTGGGAAGAAAGAAAAATGAAATAAATTGTAATGTCCTTGTATCTCACAGCCGTTGCCATGGCGATGGTGCAGGGAGCTCCTCATGTTTCATCCAATCTGCTGGTTACCACGGGAAACCTGGCCTGGCTGTTGCCTAGGAGACAGAGGCGAACGATGCAGAGCGGTGTTTGTGCTGCAGACGGCAACAAAGACTGCGCTCTGTCCACATCTGTAAACATGGAGGATTTAGCCTTATATCGAGCAGAGATTCAAACCTGGCAAAACCTGAGATTTGGTTTCTGCTCGCCAATCGTAGTTTTCAAAATAAGGTGTGAGAGACAATAAGAGCCTTCCGTTGTCCCTCAACGCAGACATTCCAGAACTCAAGGGAAGGTCGAGAGCAGTGGGAGAATATGAAGCACTTAAAACCAAGATAATTGGTTTGTAAAAAATATTAACTGTGTAATTTATTATTATGTTATGTTGCTTATTTGCACCCACTAATATATAATTCAAAGTAGATACAGGATGTGTGTGTGTACAGTCTGACGTGAATGAATACCAGATAAAGAGCCTTATCGGTATTCAGTATTCAGTTTTGCTTATGAACAAAACCATTTCTATAGCTTTAACAAGAGAAATGGTCCATTTGGCTCATGAGTCACAGATTTACTACGCACTGAGCGGCGAGCGCGGCAGAGGAGATAAGACATTGCACCGCATTGGATGGGTGTAACTTTGGACTTCCCCCTATTAGTCATGAGTAGTGATGTAAGAGTAAAGAGACAATGCATGAGCTGCAGTGATAATGAAAACCTCCTTTCTCTAAGGCGTGACACTACAGGCAATGGGATTTTTTGGTCTTCACATTCTCAGCAGCAGCTTTCTTCTGAAAAAAGGAATGGAAGATGCTATTTTTTTCACTTGGATCTGTTGTGTATAGGGTGTTGTAACTTCTGTTTTCTCCCATTAGGCATTTCTCTATAGCAACAAAAAGATCAGAAATATATTGGCGAATTGTACGGAAGAATTTGTTGAAATCTTTCTATATGAACTAATGAAATAAAATAATATGACTATTAATACTATTAAATTACTACTATTAGTGAAACTGCACAGTAGTTGACTCATGCTTCACAGCAAGAAGGTTGTGGTTTTGATCCCACGTGCCTGAGTGGGTTTTTCATGTTTCGACCTGTATCTAGGCAGGTTTCCTCCGTGTGGTCCGGTTTCTTCCACCACCCAATCATATGCACCATAGAGAATATCCCGGTCGGAAAAGGGCCTTTCTGAGTGGAGTTTTCATGTTCTCCCCGTGTCTGCGTAGGTTTCCTCCGGGTGCTCCGGTTTCCCCTATCACTAAAAACATGCACAATAGGTATTGAGAGAGTGAATGGATGGTGTTGATTGGGGGCTGATGCGCCAGTGTGTTCGGCGACTCGCTTCTGTCATCACCATGTGTGGAATGATTGGAACAACATCTGAACTCTGAACATTGTAAAGCGCTTTGGGTGACCTTGGTCTGTAAAATGCGCTATATAAATAAACATCACTTACTTACTTACAGTACTTACTTACTTATCAGCCTCCCTACCTATTCGGCCCACAATGGAGACTTTTCATCAGTGCTCATGAGATGTGAGAAGTGAAAGCAAGAAAAATGCTGCAAAATATAGCAATAGAAGTGTATTCCCCAGTTCACTTTGCAGTGCCTTGAACGTTCGATCTGTTCAAATATAGATTAGAATCCGTCTGCTATCGTTACCACAGCTCACAAACACTGGCGCTACCATTTAAAAGTACATGTTCTGAATATGCAAAGACAACTTCACTTGATCTTGGGACAAATTGGATTGGTTTTGTAAAGTTGTCCCAGACTGGCCAAGCAACTACAATGACTGCCTTTTCTTTAGCAGTACTATATATAAGAAAGCACTATATCCAATCTATCCTCGACAGATGATGCGGTGATTTAGAAGAGGGTAAAACAACAGTTCAAACATGGCTGGAAGCTCTGGTTTGTTCTGCTGCTGTGGAGATGGAGGACTGAGGCTGCAGCTCTCACACTCTGGCTGTGAATACTGATCCTGACTCCACTCTGTTCTATTTATACCACGTTCCAAAGCCACTGCTGCTACTGCAAAACGAGGGACCTGTCTCTGATGAAATAGCCTCACATCCAACGACCAAAACTACAAATAGCAGTATGTGAAGGACCATTTAGTTTATTTGAAAGAAACGCATTATGCTGATAAACTTTAAACATGGCTGTATTAGGATGGTTTCCCCTTTTCAAGATTGTCCAGAGCTAATGTTCACTAAGTAGATGGAGGAGATGGTAAGTTGAGAAACACAAGATTTCAAGATATGTTTTAAAAGCCCTGTTTACACGGAGACGCTGTGACAGTAAGACAAGTGTTGAGTAGCGTATTTGCCTTTCGTTCGCACAGCGTCTATGTTTGATGAAGGGGAAGATGTAAGCTTTGAAAAACAGCCTCCAGAGTGGAACAAAACAGATGCGCTGCAAGGCTGGGGACAGTATCGCAGCCGCGCGAAGAGAAAGGTGCGAATTCTTTGGCTGCGACGACCCCCCACCATACATGTGGACATGCGCAGTAACCGAGAACATAAACAGCAATGGCGTCGGATCAATAAATGCTATGTGTGTTTCACAGAGGAGCTTTGTCCGTCCAAACAAAACCGCACGAAGCTGTAGTTGCAGTTTCCATTTTTGCTGCTACTGTTAAATTCAGAAAGATTGTGAGCATTTCTTTCCTGTAATTAAGGCCCCGTTTGTACGAAGGCACTGCCACAATACAACGTTAGCGTTGGGTATCAGTTTGGCCTTCCGTTTACATTAAGACAGTGTTTCAGGGCGGTGAAGACGGTTGTGTTTGAGAAACAATTCGTGGGTCGATATGACGACATCATCATTTGTGTTTCATTTTTGTGTGATATTTGGATTTCTATGGTTATCTTGGACGATGGGGAGAGGCTGCTAGTATGGGATATTGGGGAGAAGATAACCAAATCTTTATTCTGAATACGGTGATAATGCAAAGACTGCTATCACATACAACTTCATTAAGGCTATATCCACACGAAGACAAAACGCTTATAATTTCAGAAACTTTTTCTGTAAACACGGAGTTAGCTCAGTAAATGTGTGCGTCCATATGAATGTAGTCAATACGCATGAAAACGCTGTGAAACTATGCCAGACCTGTTGGTGGCGCTGTGACGCAATGACGGGATCAAGCCCAAACTTCCGTGGGCATGCGCGGAATTTTGTAAACAGACAACATGGCGAGTGGGCGAGCTGGTACTACATTAGTATGGACGGACGATGAGGTTGAACTGTTGCTTCGGGTCACACTGGATTACAAAACCAACAAGCTACATTGTTGTTGTCATTATTTTCTGAGTGCGGCGCATGCGTGCTTTAACAAGAGGCGGGGCGATGACGCAAGCGTCTCAGATACATTGCGGAGAGGCAGTAACCACGGAGCGGCATATACGGAGTTTTCAAATCTTTCCACTCTGGGACCTAGTTTCAAAAATGTTCGTTTACACCCCCCCAAAACGCCGGCCTCGTATGGACGATACACTGGATTGATAAAGTATTTTTGCGTTTAGGCCTGAGCTTGACTTCGTGTGGACAGGGCCTCAATCTATTTTTTGTCAAGCTCAGCTCAGTACTAGCTCTCTCTGACTTAGGATTGGAACAAGCAACATGCTATAGCTTCTCTACGGTCTCTCTCTCTCTCCAAAGCTTTCCTTGGATATGATTCTTTAGTTTCTGTATGAATATAACTTATGTCATTAAATGTCCTCTTTCATATCTCACCTGGTTGGGCCTAGTATCTATATAGGAACAACATGATTATATTATTATATTTTCGGGACAACAATGGTTCACTTGAGGATCCTGCATCACGAGTCCTAAAGCAGAGCATAACAGCCGTCTCTCCTCTCGTTTTGTTTGTGCTCTGCCCTCCAGTCTTTTACTGCTATTTTTAACTGACATTGGCATCGCTGAAAAAGGACGCAGCCACAACAGACACAAGAGGGAAGAGAAAGGAGCTCTATCCTCTTCTGTCGTATGTACTTTAAAACTTGATTAGTGATTGTACAATGTATTTTTTTGTGGTGAAAGCTATTGTTTTCAAACTAGAGAAAATTCTGTTGATTATCCTGCACATATTCAATATTCAAACTACACCTGCTTTTCCATATTCCATGTCAAGTACAAGGCAGGTGTGCAGCGATGTCTGGGTTTGTTGCAGTTAATACATCAATCAATAAGTGGAGCCAGACAGCGCAAGCAACATATACAACTTGGTTCAAAGAAATAACATTTTGAATTATATTGTATTATATATTTTATATGTTTTTCTCCATTGAATTACTGAGATACTATTATACATGTGTTTGGTGGTAGGGAAACCGAAACACCCAGAGGAATCCTACACAGACAAGGAGAACATGCGAATTCCAAATGAGGAATCCACTCATAATACTTCAAAAGGTCAACATTTTGCAAAACCATTCTTCAACCTTGCCAACTTCCAAAGCCACCCACTATACCAACTACCCATGTTAAAACCCATGTTATATACTGTATCTGCCCCTACACTTCTACCTGAGTTGCTCTGGCTCTCTCTCCTTGGCAGAGCTTGGGCAGATTCATTATTAATTGAGTTTGTGTCCTTTCTCTTCAGTTTCTTGTATGTCCTGTGCGGTCCTCCCACGCTTCCACTGCATATGCTCTTTAGCTCGGACACTCAGTCTACAGCCTGTAGATCTGTAAAATGAAACACACAAGAGGAGTGTATCGCTAATCAGACCTTTGTTTTCTTGTAGTTGGTTCATATTTAGTAGTTAGATTTAGTTGTGAATTGTAGATTGTGGTCAAGTGTCATTTCAAACTGACTTTAACAGATGTAAAAAGCAATCGTGCTTTGAGACAATTCTACTCCTTTGTCCATCCAAAAAAAAAAACACGCAAAGCTGTAGTTTCAGTTTCTATTTTTGTTGCTATTGCTAAATCCAGAATGATGTTGGTGCATGCTTTTTTGTGGCCTGAGGAAGTTATTACACTGCTA